GAAGTTGACCTCTAAGACAAACTTTCAATTCCAGATCCATCCAACGATCATACTTGAGACTGAACTGAGGGTGCTTGGGCTTTAAATCCATCATTCTAGCCCTGGTAACAGCTGGCTCTAAAAGGCTAAAAAATCGTCGACAACAACTTTGCACTTCATACGCATAATCGCGTTAATCGGAGCAGCGGTGCCAGGACTGAGGCGGTCCGCCGTCTCATGCGCTCCGTTTTCCAACCACATCTTGTCTACCAGGCCCAGTTCCAATGACTGACCACTCAAGAGTGGCCAAGACTCGATCTAGTCAGTAGAAACACCATGAGAGCATTCGCGGTACTCCCTAGTCTTACCCCGATTCCAACTCTGCAAGAGCACGCTCAGCTCAATACGCTCAAGGAGCTGGTGAACCAGCGTGAACAAGCAAGACTACTCAAAAGCAACCACATTCCGGCGGTAGCAGCTCTTCATTCCCACCTCTACAGAGGGCCTGCCTTGACTACGACGCTGGACGGCATCCCTTCGTGGTGTTATATTGATATTACCACTAACAAGACAACGAAGCTACGTCGACGTGACCAGACAGCTCCTCAACACATGAGACCGCAATCCCTCAGGACCAATGTGTGGTCTGCGCGGACGTGGCAGTTCCGCCGAGGGGAGGACGGTCGCCTTTGGGCCTATCACTCCCCGAGATTGAAGCCAGCTGCAACTACAAGGCGGAAACACCGGACTCATTGTTGCTAGAGCTACAAGCCATACACGACGTGATCAAACCTGTCATCAGTATGCCCGGCGTCAAAGAAGTATACATTTACACCGACTCCAGTTACCCGAGGCTACAAATATGCCAGCAGACGTACACAAGACGTCAACCATAAAAAAAAAGTTCACTTGGTGCAGGGGCATAGCCAGGACCACGCCAACCTCTTGGCTGACCTTTATGCCCACCACACACAGCCCTCACTTGACCTCCCACCCCGCTGCCTTCCCTTCTGATCCCCAGTCTGACCTCATAACCCCAAAATTCCTCCTCCGACGGGACACACGCGCTTAATTACCCCGTGTGTCTGCTCCCTTCCCTGTAACCTTTCCCGGGTGGAGGAAGTCTCTCCCCGGACGCTCCGGGCTGGGCCGGAGCTGCCCTCAAACCTTCCGTCACCTGGTCCTGGAGACCTGCCGTAAGGAATCTGCCGTGAGTGTACGGTCCCTGTGGCTACGGCGGATGTTCGTCATCTGCTTTGGCTCTGCTTCGGGACCAACACAACCCGTGAGCAGATACCCAGCGAGGCCGGACTATGGGCCATCCACACGGTAACTAAACCCGATGGGGTGAACGGCGACAAGTTCTACAAGTCGCTCCTGCATGCAGTTCTTGCTCGACGGTGGACTTCACTAATTTCTTTGAGGCTTCCCTTATTACGCCGCGTGGCAGATCATACGAATAAATAAATAAAAACAACCGTTTAATTGCCCGCTTATATTATGCTCCGTGTAACTTACCCGGTGAAAGTGCAGCCGGGGCGTATTCTGAAACGAACAAATTAATTTCTTATTCTGATGCGAAAGACGCAGAGTCGTCCTCAACATGGTATATAAAACGCTGCAGACCTGTGGCGGTGCTTTGGCAGACCACGAATTTACAGCATCATCCACATCGAGGCCCCAATAGACTCCTTTCAAAACCGGAGCGAAAGTTCGTCTGCTTCTTACATAGAGGTGGCTATGATGTCAGAATGCCGAATTCTTATTTGATGACTGAAAAAAAAAAGAAATAGTGGGTAGGCTGCAAGGCACCTACGATTGTGGTCTACCCTATCCTTTCAATCAAAGTCAGTCAGAGCACGGCGTCGTCCTGACGTCACTGCCAGTCCTGTGCAAGAAGCAGACAACTTGCTCTCCACATAGAGACCAAAAGTGTTGGTCATCCCCTCGCCCCTCTTCACCAATTCTCCTCTCTCTCCCCCTCTCTCCCCCTCTCCAGTTTTCTAACTATCACCAGGTGGTCTGGGAGTCGACAAGATGACCGCCGAGAAATCGAGCAAAAAAAGAACACCCCTCAGATGTGTTAGTTAGTTTCACTTCATTATGTTTTTCCTGGATAATTTCTTTCAATCTTCTAACATCTTTTTTGTGACTGTAATTCGTTCTCCATTCTCCAATCCTCACGTCCAAAACCCAGCGCACACGCCATATCCGTCACCCCCCTCAGGGAGGGCGGCGTGAAGTCTCGTGCACTTCAAAACCAAATGTTCTAGCGTCTCACTCTCACTATGGCATACGGCACATAATGTGTCTATCTCTTCAAATTTAGCCTTACACGTCTTTGTTTTTAACACTCCTGTTCTCGCTTTGAACAGCAAAGATCTTCCACGTGAATTACCCAACACCTTTTCGTTTCTTATGTCCTGTTTTTGTGACCTGTACATCGTTAAAGCTCAATTTTTCTTGCATTCTTCCCTCCCACATTTTCTTTTCTGCCTCTTTCACTCCCTTTTTCACTTAACTGACCTGCTCAGCCCCATGTGCAGGTGTTTAAATGTCGGCTTTCGGGTTCGGTTTCTCCATTTTCTGTTTAAACTTTATATGCATAAATACTTAAGTACTTTCCGTGGCCACCGGGCATCATCCAATGCAATTAATATTCCTTAAAAAAATATATAGTTGTTTTTGATGACGCTGAGCAAGTTTCTAATTGGAATCATATGTCTATTTTGAATAATTAAAAAGTTAAGTAACGAATTTACTTAATTATCCGATTAATCGTTACGATTAGCCCCCTATACTATGTCCCCTGGCCGTATAACTCACCTGCGCAAACCGCATAAGTGTAACTTTTACGGCGTTGTTTAAACAAATCTGTTAAGTTAAAAAAAAAAGGAAAAAAAAAACACCCTTAATACCGGGTGTTTCAGCGAAGACACAAACATTTCTATGGACCGCATTACCCGTTCTAGAGGACGTCAGAAAATGCGCGATACTTATTAATTATTCCGGTAATTAAGAAAAATGACTAATTACCTTTTTAATTATTGAAAATAGACATAAGGTTTCGATTAGAAACTTGATGAGCGCCATCGGAAACCACAAAATCAAATTTTCAGAAAAACTTTGAGCGCGTGAGAAGCGTAGTATAGTGCGCTAAAGCTACCAGTCGTGGAGCGGGCACAAGGCTAGCGTTGCGATAAGTCGCCCGAACGATTTTTCCGTCGCTTATCAGAGCCCCAGTCTTGTACCTGCTCCACGAGTGGTAACTTTAGCGCACTACTACGCTTCCCACGGGCTCGAACTCTTTTTGAAAATTACAGATTTTGTGTTTTTCGATGGCACTCAGCAAATTCCTAATTGAAACCTTATGTATATTCCAATAATTAGTTGTTTTTCCTAATTAGTGAACTAATTAGTAAGTATCGCGCATTTTCTGATGTCCGCCACCTCGAATAATCCGGTTCCGAGAAGATTTTTCACCTTAAATACAGTAATTTTAGGAATGTTTTTCAGTCTTCGCTGAAGCATCCGGTATATTTATCAAATAGATAAGATTTATTTGAGTTAAATTTTAGTTATTTGATTTAAATTAGTTTAATTTTATTCATATCACTTTAGCTCAAAACTCGTGTCTCTGTATCACTACATGCATTTTTAAACATAGATTAATTTATCAACCCGTCTGATCACTGATTACAATGCAGAAAAATAATTACCGTAAATTTGAAGTACAGTTGAATCAACAACTTTTTACTGATGTAACCCCAGCCATACTAGAACAAATACAGCTGAATTTTTCTAGTTAGCTAAAATGACTATTTGCTTTTTTTCGCGTTCTGATTTGCTCGCAATAACACTTTACCTTTCTAGATTTTACTTTTTTTTTCTTTCACGGTCTGGCTGACTTGCAATAGTATATTACGTAACTGACGACCGAAATGGAAAGTAGGAAGAAAGCTTAATGATCCGATTTGCTCAGAAGATAAAATGCATTTTGCTCGTCTTCAGCCTGATATAAATCTTCTTTGCTGGACGATTTTTTTATTAAATACGAAACAACTGGTTTGATTTAAATCATAATTTAAAGCATGATTCAAATCACTTTGATGTTTATTCTCCACCCTGCATCGTACCTATGAGCCAGTTTGCGTAAAGGAAAGACTGGCCCATTTATTTTCCCCCTGGCCAGCAGACTCTGCCAGGTTTGCCTACTTGGACTCGTTAAATATAGAATTCTGCCATTCTGGAGTCGTAGTCCCGCGGCAGTTCTGAAACAAATACCTGGAGTTTTCTGAGTTTGGCACTCTAGAAACATTATGTGGCTCATTCGTACATATTCCAGACCCATAGCCCGGGAAAAACAGTGCTTTTGCGATTACATTCATTTGGCACAAATAGTGAAGCCAAGTACCACGAACGTGCGGTTGCTCCTAAGATCCAGCTTCGTTCTTTGGCTAGGTGCTCAGCATTTTGTGAAGCCCAGATAAAAGCGTGGCCGCGAGGCCCAACACTGATTGGTTGACGGGTGGGAGAGGAGGAGAGAGGTGCTCGACGCTGATTGCTTAACGGGGAGGTCATGTGACCAGAGAGGCAGGGGAGGGGGAGCTCGACCATCTGTGCGCACTGAGGGAGAAGAACTCGCAATTGAGTATGGAAGGCTGGGGAAGATCGCCAGGATTATCAGCCCGATTAGCGGTAGTATCACTTTATTCTAGTAACAACTACCAAGCGTACACATAGTACGCGTTAAACTCCGATGAAGAGCGCCGTGAACGTAGGCGTCTGGAAACTCAGAGCATCACTAAACGTTTCTGACATGCTGGAGCATTTCACGTATCCAACACAATTGCGTAGCCATTGGTAGTACATTTTTGTTGTTGTTTTGTTGCTGTCTGGACACAGTAATTAGAGCGCTCTAAAGAAGCTGTGAACCTCAAATCAGGTATTATTTCGTCACAAGTTTCGATGCTAACAAGAATGAACATATCAGTTCAGTCGGAAATTCCGAGGTTTCTTACGCGAGCGAGAGTTTTCTTCGAACGCTCGCTTGATGTCATGGATTTCTTCCTCGTCTGAAAGAAAGGTAGGCCAAACGAAGCTTGGATCATTGTTCCAACGCAAATCCCCGTGAATCCGAGGGAATTGCCTACATATCATCCACTCACCTTTCACTGCCGTGGGAATGCCTTTATCGTGCGACTTGTACCGGACTGGGGGACAGAGAAATTCAGGTGTTGCATAGTTACCACAGTAATCGCTTTCTATTTGTCCCTTCCGTATATCATACACTTGCCAGTGCTATCCAAGGATCTAATGTTTCCTTCGCAAGAAATTGGTTTCACACCCTATTAATTTCATATTTCAAGCCCAATGCGGGCACTGAGTTAATTACATGTTGTGAGACTCTAGGAGAAAACCTGCAAGCAGACATGGGAGAGCTAGAATTTTGATTGTTCCCTTTTATAAGTGGGCCAGTTTTTCCTCTTTTATCGGCAGGACACCTATCCCTAAAAGAGGGACAAGAAACTCGTAAAATATAGGTGGTGGTTACGCGATGGTGTATTGGTGCACAAAGGCACAGTGCAATGGTGCACCATGGCACAATGCGTCAAAAGCAAAGGACGGGGTTGGCCTAGCTGTAAATGCTGATAAAAGGGAGTGTGATTGTTCGGGGGGGGGGGGGGGGGGGGGGGGGGCACACATCCTCGTCTCTACATAAAGCACGAGACACCACCCGTTCCTCCTGGCGCAAGAACCTCGTAGGTTGTAGTGGAGGCGGTGGTGGTATACTGGTGTACATTTCCAAGGGCAGAGGTCAATGGTGTTCAGCTATCATTGCTGACTGTCGGAAAAGTGACAGTACTGGAAACAGAGTTCTTTCTCCACACAGAAAATACATCACTTGTTCCTCCTGGGCCGATGACCTTTTAGGTGGTGGTAGTGAGACAATAGGGAATTGTAGTATACCGTTTTTCTCCTCCGCTACGGTGTCCGCCAAGAAAACGCCGCAGCTGCGCATGCGCGCCGCCAGCCTTATCTGCGTAATTCAAGATCTTGTGGTGGATTACGGAGCGCTATCCGGGTGCTTAGCGGGAAGCAGAAACGGTCTACTAGAATTCCCCAATTAGGGTTTTGTGTTTTCGGTAAATACCGATAAACCCCGAAACTTAAACTCCTCGAGACAGTTTTATCACAATCGGGGAAAACCGGAAAACCCCGGAATTAGACCTGCCTTTAAATAATAAAAAAAAAACAACAAAAAAAACAGAAGCTTTACGGGAAGAAAACTTTTATGTACAACTTGATTTTCCATTGACCCGGCAAACTGTCCGTACTGAATTGCGTTCGAGGCTCCTTATTTCTTCGGAACCACATACCTGATCGCGTTTCCTTCTCGTGTGGGTACGCTGTCATTTTGCAAGTGTTTGCGTCACGGATGTTTCCTAGACGCGAAATCACATGTCCGCGTCCTATTTTCTTCGAGCTAAACCACAATAAGCTCCGATTTGTAAAAAAAAAAAAAAGAAAAAAGAAAGACGTTCACAACTCTTTGTAATGTCGAATTAAAGCGCAGCTCTTGAGGAGGAGGAGGAGGGGAGGGTACGGAGAGGAGGGTATGCCCCTCCTCCTCCTCCGTACCCCTCCTCCTCCCCTCCTCTCCTCCTCCCCATCCTGCTCCATTTTCCCCTCCACCTCCCTTCCTCCACCTCTCCTCCCTCCCCCTCGTGACGTCACTCGTGACCCTAGTGACCCTTGTGACGTCGCTCGTAAAGGCTTCGTGAAGGTCGTGACTGTCACAGTAAAAGCCACGTGAAGGTCGTGACCTTCACGACCTTAGTCGTGACCTTCTTGAGTGACCTTTGTGACGTCACTCGTTACCCTAGTGACCCTCGTGACGTCACTCGTAACGTCACACGTGACGTCACGTGTGACGTCGTTATGAGAACTCCCCATATTGCAACGTGCGGTTACAAGTGACGTCGGTCGCGACCCTAGTGACCCTCGTGACGTCACACGTGACGTCCCGTGTGACGTCATTCTGGGAAACGTCCTATAATGCAACGCGCGGTTACGCCGACGGCGACGCCGCCGTCGGCAAGCCGGTAACGGGCGCTTAAGAGCTGCGCTCTAAACTTGGTACCGAAAAACGCTGAATTTTTAGGAACAAATAAACACCCCCAAAATACCCAAAACTCGAAGAAAAATAAACACCGAAAACAAAGAGCCCTAGGTATAAGGACATATATGTCGTCAAGGACAAAGGACGAAGATGACTTAGCTGTCCATGTTGACAATGGGAAAATGACTGTTTTGGGGACACATATCTTTGTTCATACAAGAAGGACGATATACCACTTGTTCCTTTTGGGACAAGAACCTTGTAGGCGCGCTAGTGCTGGTATAATGGTGTATATCGTCAGGAATAGGTGACGATAATGGCCAGTTGTCCTTGCTGACAATGGGAAAAGTGACTGTCATAGGTACACCACTTTTTGTAGCTACAATAAAGATGAGACACCACTTAATTCTCATGGGACAAGAACCTTGTAAGTGATGGTAGTGACATTATCGTGTATGTCGTCCACAGCACAGGTTGATGATGGCCTATAGCTGTCATTGCTGACAATGAAGGAAGTGACTGTTATGGGGATACAGTTCCTTATTTATACAAGAGAGACGACCGGACACCGCTTGTATACTGTTGGAACAGGATGTCTTCTCCGTGGTGTCGAAAGTGGAGTATGGCTTCAAGAGCGGAAGACAGGGCTAGTTCAGATTTTTCAATGCTTAGGCCCGCTTCAGACAGAGCAATTTCACCCAGCAACTTGACGTCGCAACACCAGCAACACGGGCCGCCCGCGTTCACACGCAGCAACCGAATTGCTCCGACTTGCCATCATCATCATTAAATTTGATTTTTCTTGCACTATTTAGACGCCCAGCTACGCGCTAAAAACGCGTTCTTATATCTTTGAACGGCGTAAAGAATACTAACTAATTTTTCTGGAAATGTTTATTTCCAAAAACGATTCATTTCAAACCAGAACTAAGTCTTTAGCTGTCATCATCACCACCACAGGGGTGTCACGTGAAAATATCGCGTCTCTGATTGGCTGCGGCCGCTTCAACCGTCTTCGAATTGCTCCGAGTTGCTCGCTTGTTCGAGCCGGACCCGATCTCAGCAATTTGCGTCGATCTAGGGAAAGCTAGGAAACAACCCGCCAGCAACCTCGAAATTGCTGGAAAAGTTGCCCCGTCTGAAGCGGGCCTTACAAATGCGAACTTCGTTTGATGCAATTCCTTCTTGTATGAACAAGGCTCATTGTATCTACAAGAGGGGCAAGTCCCTTCGATTTTAAAACAAGCTGAGGGCCGCCACTGGCCCTTATGGATTACAAACGATTTTGAAAGCGATAGTATTACCTAAATGCAAACTGTAACGCTATTCGTTTGCTGAATTATTGTAGCTATAAGTATAACTAGGGCTCCGTGTTTTCGGATAAATCCGAAAAACTCCGAAAAACACCCGCCGGTAAAATTTTTGGCAATTCGGATTTATCCGATAAACTCCGAATTGTTATGTGCCCAGCCACCCCCCCCCCCCCTCCCCCTCCCCCTCTTCTTTTTTTTTTTTTTACATTTTCGGCAGCGCAGGCTCAATGGTCCTGGGAAAATGACACCATAATTATCTTTCAAGCTTCGGACCGTTGTCAAAAGGGGGTCTTACGGCTTGTCTCGTCAAGGTTGGTTCAGGGAAACAGGTCATCGTACCATTCGTGTCACGACAAAAGCCACTCTTTTGGTTTCCAGTTTGGGCCATGGGAGTTGGGATTTAGAGATGGGAGATGGTATGTTTCTGGGGGTAACAGTGAAAGCTATGAACCATAGAGATTGTATAAAATAGGGAAGAGGGGCTGTTGAATCTTCTCTATTACATCCACCTCGCGCGGCAGCGGGATAGATTGATGGGATGACTACGAGCTTCCTTGTGGCTATCTCTGGCAGTTTATTGATTTTAAGGTATCGACGTTTATCAAAGCAACATTTGTGTGCGACTTTTGTCGTGGGACAAATTAGTGCTGTCAATGACTACCAATGTCAAATTCAACTGAAGAAATCCTAATTGATGCAAGCGCGTTTTATTTTTTATCTGGCATACGTTTGCATCCGGTTATTATTTATTATTTTTAATAAAAAACACTGCGAAATTTATTTCCGAATTTCGGAAAATTGGGGATATATGAAAAGTAAACTCCGATAAACACCGACTTTTCGCTAAAAAATAAACTCCGAAATAACCCTCCGAATTTTTACGAAAAATAAACTCCGAAAACACGGAGCCCTAAGTATAACACATTCAGTTTACTCCAGTGGAACTCGCAACTGAAACTCGTTCAAGTGGCAAGGAGGAACAAGAAGCAGGCTTTCGTTCCTGCCATGAAGATCGTGCACAACCCTGGATTAAAGGCTCGTTCACACAGACCCGTTTTCTGACGTTACCTTACGAAAAGTCACAGGGAAATCTGTGCATCGTATTAAGCGTGGCTACCAATTCAAGGAGATAGCCTGGCACGCGACATTCAAGACACGAGTGTTTCGGTGACGACGAGTTAGGACGGTGAGTTACCGTGGCAACCAAAGACACAAGGCTCGTCGTAACTAGTGCACACTAAATAAGCTACGCTTCAGAGTAACGACACTTGGCCATATTGTGAATTAAAATCATGGTTGCCAGTTATCTGAAGCTTTATCTGAAATCACAGGAAAGGCTTTTCCGCCCTCCACAAATGTTTAAACCGTTCGCGACAGAGCAAAGCAATATTACGTGACCTTCCTAACACCGAATCTAATGCTGAGGAAGTCGCACTTTTGAATCATGACGATCGGCCGTTGCGTCTGTTCTGCATACGAGCCAAAATGGCGGCGCCCACAACAATGTCCAGGAACGGAGTGCCGATACTCTAAGCGCAGCTTATTTAGTGGCTCCACCCCTGGTTATAGTGATTCTGAACCAACAGATGGCCGTGGGATCGCCCTCCAGGCCTGTACATCAATGCGAGAAATTGTGTGTGGTGGCGCTTCGATACAGTTGGATATTCTTCTATATCCAGAATTTGACATCCCTCGTCCCTTGCTTGGTTTTCTCTGCACGAGCTTTCTTCGGAACGCGCACGGCTGCGCCAGTTCTCGTGCAAGGGGGCCAGTTGCC